GGAGGGGAGGGGAGGGGAGAGGTGGGGAGGGGGGATGGTGGAGGATGGGAAAGGCAGCGGAGCACAACAGACACTAGTATGGCAATATGTAAATCAATGGATGTGTAACTGATGTGATTCTGCAATCTGTGTATGGGGTGAAGGTGGGAGTTCATAACCCACTTGAATCAAAGTGTGGAATATGATATGTCAAGAAATTTGTAATGTTTTGAACAACCAACAATAAAAAATTAAAAAAAAAAAGAATCAAAAAAACAAACAAACAAACAAAAAAAAACAAAGGAGAAGAGCCAGAATGACTTGGAGTTGGGGTCCTATTCACAAAAGGAAGCCTACTATGAGGATGAGATTTGCTATTTAGAGACACAACCATCCCAGCAGATTGTTCTTAGTTCCTTAGGGCAGGAGAAACCAACCCAGGAAAGCAATTAAAGATGACAGCAGCTAGAGATGGGGATTTATATTATCCAACCTCTAATTCATTAATCTGACAAAATGCTAGGAAGGTATATCCACTCCTGCATTGCTCTTATAAAGCCACATCCAGAATAGAGAAGGAAAGAACCTGAGAATACACACATATACACATATGAAATTCTACACAAGGGAGGCAAATTTTACTAGGTAGAAGATGGTGGAATGTGATGGACATCATTATCCAAAGTACATGTATGAAGACTCAAATTGGGTGTCAACATACTTTATATATAAACAGATATGAAAATTTGTGGTGTATATATATGTAATAAGAATTGTAATGCAAAAAAGTTTACATGTTTAAAGGCATGAATTGGCGTGAACATACTCTATACACAGATATGAAAAATTATGCTCTATATGTGTAATAAGAACTATATTGCATTCCGCTGTTGTATTTTAAAAAAATAAAATCAATAAAACTAAAAAAAAAGTATGTTCACATAAAAAAAAGACACATACCTGGTAACTTCTTGTATAGGAGTCAAAATGTTATCACAATTCCTATTTAAATGTATCCACTATCACAGGTTACAAAGAATTTACACAAGACCAGTTATTTCCATTTTACAAGGAGGAAAGCTGAGCTTTGAAGATGCATAAGATGCTACAGAAGCTGTGTATCTAATGCAGAACTTATGCAAGAAACTGGGTTTCTCAGATTCTACATCTTGTTTTAACATGAACAACAACAGATAGGGCTAGCTCAGGCAGAACCTCACTAAAGCACTTTTGATTACCATCCTGGGGTTAGAATGTTTACATAGAAATGAGAATTCCAGGTAGGGAATGGAGACGTTCCAGTATATCAATCATCAATTTGGCCCAATAGAATACAAAGTATCCATTTGGTATAGGGTTAGGAGAAGACTTTCTCTTGTTACTATGCTTTCCCATTATATTCTACATAACCAAAGATGCTACTAAATCTCAGCTCAGGATGAATCTGGACAAATCAGACAACTATCCTACAATGTGAAGGTACAGCACTCTGGGAAATCACCCATTCACCTATCAACTGTATGAGCACTGATTGAACAGTTTAATGTGACCCATATCTATGTCTTACCAAGACATGTCAGAATTTGAATAGATTCTACAGTGCTTCAGAGATGAAGTAGAAAATACAGCCTTTGATCATTTACAAAATGAATGATAGAATCATGACTCAATCTCAGGTCTGCCATTTCCTAATCTAGGTAGCTCTGTTTTCACAAGAGTATTCTACCCTCAACCAAAAACAATGTAAAAGAATGAAGATAATAATTCTATTTTTAGAGATTTAATGGAAAAGTGCTTTTATAACCTTCAACATACAATCCTTTGGGTATTATACAATATTACTTTAAATGTAAACCTAAAGATAAATACTTGTTCATGAGCATTGGAAGGTCTACCTTGGAATCAATACTCATTTCATTAATGCAACAGCCAATACCATTTCTTTTATGGTGACACCATAACAGCTGGCCTCTCAGGTTCCATGGTACTCTTCCTTAGCAATCTGAAGGCTGTTTGACTGCTTAAATCAAGCAAAAAGTTTCATGATGATAAAATAAATGCTATGAATATAATCTGAGGCAACATGGAATAATATTTTAGTTTATCAATAACACTGATATAGACCTCTGAATTATGATTTAGGTTATATCATTAATACTCCAGGTCTATAAACAGTATTCATTATAGACTTGAAATTGTGCTCTTGATATAGCAACTAGCCACATATGGTTACTGAGCACCTGAAATGTTGCTAGTGTGAATTGAGATGTGTTATAAGTATAAAATACATACCATATTCCAAAAATTTAGTAATTTATCATTAATGAATTTATAGTGGAAATATATCATATAATATTTTGAATATAATGGATTAAGGTAAATATATATGAAAATCAACTTCACTTTTAGCATTTTTAATTTTTTAATGTGATTACCAGAAAAATTTAAAATATGCTTGTAGCTTGCATTTGTGACTCTTATTACATATAATATTCTCTTATAGAAATATAATGATCAATGCCTCTTAATTCTTTATGCACAGTAAAAGACATCTGGAAGCTTTTTAAAGTCTAATTTCTGGGTTTCAACTTTGAAGATTCTTATAGGACTAGCTTGTATTCTGGCTTTTAGTGGTTTCTTTCTTTGCTTGTTTATTTGTAGGTTTATTTATTTATTTATTTATTTATTGCTATTTTGTTTTTAGACAGAGTTGAGAACCACTGGATTAGATGCTATATTGTGTACCAAGTGGCTGCTAGGAAAGTATGTCTGGAGGAACAATCCCATGGCCTTGGACTTAGGACTATCAATAATTGTTCACTGATATGCAGAAGCCTAACTGTCCTCTGCCTTCCAGAGCCATCCTGGTGTGCTCAGTCATTCCCCTCATCCCTTGATTTACAATTTATTATAAAAGTGATGTTTTCCTCAAAGTAAAAAGCATTCGGGTTTGGGTGTGGTTTAATCCTTCTTTTAAACAGAGAGGACTGTCAGCACAAGAGACACAAACTGTCCTGAAGGCTAGGTTACTGATATGATCTTTCTGACTATTCCCAGAATTGATTAATTAACTAGCAAAGGTAAGCTGGGACACAGATGGCATTTTAAGATGCTGAAGGAAAATGCCACGTAAGCAGAGAAGAAAGGATTGGATATTTTATTAGGAGACTTCATGGCAGAAGGGGATGCAACTTCATTTTGTCTGCTTCACTGCTTCTGGGCAGTGTCTCCACCTAAATCATCACAGTTTGCATTCCTCCAAGGAAGGAGGTCTCTCTCAATCCCTAGAGCCAGCCTTGAAGCATGGCACTTCTTAGACCTACTAAGATGATATGATGATGATGATGATAAGTTATCATATGCCAAGTATCTAACATGTCAACACTGTGCTAGATATCTCACTTGCATATTTAACCTCATTAAATCCTAATAAGAAAAGTGTGCTATCCTTATTTTTTCAAATGAGGAAATAAAAATTTAGGAAAGTTAAAAATTTTGTCAAGAGTCATAGAGTTAGGAAGTATTAAAGCTGTATCTCAGTTTATCTGATCCAAAGGCCTTGCTCCTTCCTTCATATCACACTGTTATAATGTCAAACTTGAGACCAATCAGTCTCTAAGAACTAAAGCCCCTCTAACCTTTCATTTGGGGTCTGGAAGACTTATCCATATCTTATAGGAGAAAACAACAAAAAAATGATAGGCTGTAATATGGATGGTCATAATATACCTTCATATCCCTTTGCTATTTGTCTTTCCATTAAACAATTTTCATGTTCTATCTCATTCACTATGACATCCTCTGGCACTAAAGAATTGTTAACACCATTTTGTAGATGAGGAAAAACAAATTCCAGCTCATGACCTCAAGGAAGGCCAGGAACTGGGGTACATGGTCAGTTCTCCCCTCACAGTATTCTGCGAATTTGTGACCCAGAGGAAGTGGAAACTGATGGAAGCTTCATTCCAACAGTGACTATTTGTGGCCAGGTTCTTCATGGCACAATGTCAGAGGCCAAGGCCTTGTAAGCACTTGTAGGATGCCTGCTTCCAGGCCCAGCACATCTTAGATCCTAGATATTTGACTTCCTTGCAAAAAGTAAGATCTGCAATCCATAAAGTCTAGATCCTGGGAGAGGAGATTACATATTTTTACACAAACCACTGAAGATATCCTCTGATAATATGCAGAGGTGTTCATACTTCCCTGGATGAGAGAAACAAGGCAAGGGAAGCATACAGAAAGTAGAGGAAGGGAACAGATGTGAAGAGAAATAGAAGAAAAGCAAATAGAAGGGAGGTAAGGAGCCAGGCTCGATGGCACATGCCCGGAATCCCAGCGGTCCAGGAGGCTGAGACAGGAGGATCACGAGTTCAAAGCCAGCCTCAGCTAAGGCGAGGCACTAAGCAACTCAGTGAGACTCTGGCTCTAAAAAAAATACAAAATAGGGTTGGAGATGTGGCTCAGTGGTTGAGTGCTACCGAGTTAAATCCCTGGTACCCCCCCCAAAAAAAAAATAGGGCTAGGGATGTGGCTCAGTGGTTGAGTGCCCCTGAGTTCAATCCCTGGTACCAGAAATAAATAAATAGAGACAGAGACAGAGACAGAGAGAGAAAAGGAGGAGATGGGAAAGGACTATAAAAAAGAAAGGACACAGAGAAGAAAGCAGAAAAAGAATAGAGATAAGAAAGGTGAAAGTTCACAGAAATTTAGGGTTAAAAGGGTCTTCAAAATCATCCAGGCCAACCCCAGATGTGGGAAGTGATTTGTAAACATGTGTGGGGAGGGGAGTAGGGGTTGCTCATATAAACAAGAGACAAAGAAAATATCTAAAAATTAGAAAAACAAAGATTAAAGAAGATTAACCCAGGTCCAAGATAGGGACAAAAAAAAAGAAAAAGAAAAAAAGAAAAGAGAATATGAGAAAAGTCACCAAGGGGAGCAGAACAGGGGCTAGTGAAGGAGAAGCCAGGGATAGGTAGCCAAGGAGAAAGGAGAGGAGAGTGAAGGCTGACACTCACCCTCACAAAGCTGGCAGGAAACCATCCCTCCTCATCGTCGATCTGGCCCCACCACCAATCCTTGTTGGAAGCATCCAAGACTTTGATGACGTCGCCAGCCTTAAATGCCAACTCCCGGTTGGCCATGGTGACGTGATCCCATACTGCCTCAGCACTAACGATGGAATCTCCAGTGATCAGCTTAGGAGACAAAATGAGAATGTGTTCAGTCCATGCAGCTGCCTACCTTGATTGGCCCTCCCCCCACCCACAAAGCTCTACTACTTATAGGAAAACTTACATACTTAGCGATGAGGGATAGGGGAAGGGGAACAGCACTAGAGTGTAAGCTTTGCGGGGCTCCAAGACAGACAATGCTGTCAACTCTTGATTATCCAGTACATGGAATGATCCAGTATGTAAATGTGAACTATATGGGTATCATGCTTTTATCTCTACTCAAGAATACTTCCCCCAGAAAAGAAAGCAAGCTCCAGTTCAACTATCCTTTGTGTTTCCAGCATCCCTGGGTCTGGAATGGGTAAAGAGGCTGATATTAATAGCTAAAATGAGGATTAAGCATATTTGCTTTCAATTCTGTGTGTTCCTTCTCTTTTCCACCTCCTCCTTGGAACTGACCAATTGACAGTTGGTAGTATATTATTAATCCTCACTGTGCCCCTCCCCCTGGGGTAACAGACTATGACATTCCTCACACACAATGGACCCCAGTCCTACAGCCTCCTGCCCTCACCCACACAAGATACCATCCAGAGAGGTCATGGGTATGAAAGAATATGGCTTTCTGTGATGTCTTGTACCCAAGAAATTAAATGTTGGCTCAGATTCAGTCAGTGATTATTACAACCACCCTGTGAGATACAGTGGGGATCTGGGTTAACTTCTGCATCTAATAGATTGCAAAACTGAGCAACAAAGAAGTTTAGGGTTGAGGTAAATATCATACAGCAAGGTAAAGGCTGTGCATGGATTCTAACCTAGGTCATCAGGTTTCATGGACAGCAGAAAACACAACAGCAGGAAAACATTGATCCTACTGCCACATGAAAATACACATACATGCACATTCATGACACTTAACTAAATACAATGATAAGGATAGAGGTGGGTAATAGTTTTCTTCCCCCTGGCTACCATTCTGACCACTGCTATTTTGTTCTCATTTTCACTCCAACTGTTTCAGCTTGTATGGGCCTTCAGTCTTCCCAGCATTTGGGGAATGACATCCTAGAATAGAGAACATATGGCCTGTTAGGCAGAGACTGGAGCACTCTCCCCAGCATTGAATCACTGAACATGTCCTTTAGAAGTCAGCTTTTCCATCAGCTTTTTTTGAGGAAGGACTACCATGACAGCTCCATAACACTAAAAAAAAAAGAGTTCAAAGACAATAGAGACTATCTGCGGACTATGTATCCCCTCCCACAGGTCTGATATACAATATACTACCCAAAATATAACCGTATAGCCATATAATGTATTATAACACATCACATACACACACACAGAACCTACCTTTTGACTTAAAGTTTACTGTTCATCAAGCCCTGCCTTAAGGCATATTTCATTGCTCAGGATTCTAGACTTCATGCCCTCCACAGACAGTAAAGCACAGGGAAACCTCCTCAGAATAGATGCAAAAGAAATTCCCAGCAGGACTTTTTTTTTAAAATTATACTTCAATTACCTTGTGCTTTACTGCTTTAAAATATTTTCACATCTACTACATCATTTGATCCGTACTAAGCTGGGTTTCACTATCACCTACATTGTAAAGATGAAGAACCTGAGGCTCAGAGAAGAGACTTGGTCCTTTAGACAATAACATAAGAAATAAATTATAGAGTCATGTTTTCCGACCTCATGTGCTCTTACATATACCAAACTATGCTCCCAGTGTCTACTTATTGGCTATACTGATTGTATAAAACTTGAAGCATCATACCATAAAACAGATGACTCCTTTACTTAAAGAAACTTGAAGAAGGATTTTTAGATGGCTACCTTTTGTCACTGTTGTCCCTGTGTGTGAATAGATTCATTTTTATGTTGAACTTGCTTTCTTCCAATTGCACTAAAAAAAAATCAATCTCTCCTTGTTCTCCACTCAGTGGAAAAAGAGAAATTCTAGTTGTTGGCCTTAATAAAATAAATCTTAATGGAAAACTTTCCTTCCTCCTACCTAAAATAGATCCTAACTGGAAGTTGCTGAAGCTCAACAAGCACATATGGCCCTAACTTAGAGGAGCATTTGGGTTCATGGTTTAAAGCTATATCCAGGGATTTTGGTCAAGTGTCAAAATATCTTGGCATTAAATATGAACTTTCTGCTCCAGACACTATTTGTGATGCTGTTTTAGATACCCTAGGTCCAGTTATAGCTAATTTCACTGCATATACTCTTTACTTTGCAATCTTCTATTTAGGGACTCCATAATAGCTTCTACCAGCAGTATATGAATCACACTGCCTCACCTCCTGCCAATTTAGTCCAGTTGACATGCCTTGGCCCTCAGGCCATAAGACTCAGATACACCCTGGACATGGCCAATCCAGGATCCAGTGGTCAGGCTCAAGGAAGTCCTTTGAGGAAACACTATTAAAGGTTTAACATTCCTAATACACAAAGTTAAAATCAGAAATACTATAAAATTCAAAACTTAAGTTTTATATTTTGTATTTTTGGATTAGGGATACTCAACAAAGTTGTCTATGCAAATACTCCAAAATCTGAAAAACTCTGAAATCCGAAATATTTCTGGTCTCTAGCATTTTAGATAAGCAATACACAATCTATATTTTCCCTATCTTATAAATGAGAAAACTGAAGGTCTCAGAGAGCTTAACTAATTTGCCCAAGTTCACACAACTCATTAATAGCAAAGAAAACAAATGCAGGCATAGTCTGACTCTAGAGACACTGCTTTTAACTTATAAACTATGCAGTGTCTGGGTCTCAGATTTTATACCTATAAAATGAGCTATAAATGCCTGGAAAGTTGTAAAACACTAAACCAAGAACTGGCAGGTGGGTGTCCAGAGTTGTGAGATGGACTAATCCACAAGAAGCTAGAAGCTGCATGGGTGTTATGGTTTGGTTGTGAGTTATCCCCTCAAAAGCTCATGGGTTATATGATATAGCAATATTCAAAGGTGAAACTATTAGTTTATGAGAGCTGATAACCTAATCAGTGGATTAACCCATTTGATGGATTAATAATTTGAAAAGACTACTGTACTAGATGGTAACAGTAGGCAGATGGGACATGGCTGGAGGAAGTGGGTCGCTGGGGACATGCCCTTGGGGATTATATCTTGTCTCTTTGGCTCAAAGCTCCCTTTTTATGCTTCCCAGCTGCCATGAGCTGAGCAACATTCCTCTGCTATGCCCTTCTGCCATGGTATTCTGCTTCAACTCAGGCCCAGAGCAATGGAGTTGACCAACAATTGACTGAACCTCTGAAACTATGAGCCAAAACAAACTTCCTCCTCTAACTTGTTGTCAGGTAATTTGGTTATATCAACATAAAGGTATCCATCACAATGTGGTTCCTGTGCTCTTCCATCACAAATACCACCAGCAGCAAGGGGATGCTTGTCTCCAATCCTGTGCACTATTTTTTTGTTTTGTTTTGTTTTGTTTTGGGTACTGGGAATTGAACTCAGGAGCACTCGACCACTGAGCCACATCCCCAGCCCTATTTTGTATTTTATTTAGAGACAGGGTCTCACTGAGTTGCTTAGTGCCTCACTTTTGCTGAGGCTGGCTTCGAATCCACAATCCTCCTGCCTCAGCCTCCAGAGTCTCTGGGATTATAGGCATGTGCCACCACACCTGGCTGCACTATTTTTAAAAAGTAAATTAAATCTGGACTGGAAATTGGTTCCAAGTGTTCCTCTTATGTACCAAACTGAAATTTAACTTACTACAAGATTTTCATACATTTTCACTTGGCTCATTCATTTCCCATTGCACATTTATCCAGTGAGCTCCTACTGTGTGCTGCTAGGCACCATTTAAATTATCTGCAAAGATGGTTAAGGGTAAGCAAACCCAACTTCAATTCTGGGCTTTTCTGCTTTAAAATGTAGCAATAACAATAGGAGGTGAGGAATAAAAGAGTAAAAGGGACAATCCAAAATGAAGCTGTCAGTATGTAACAAGGAGTGCAATTATACAAAAATGAATGAGAATTTCAAACATTTCAACCTTGCACCTCAGTTTCTTCATCTCAAAAATTGGAACGATGTTTGCCTCACAGGCAGGGATATAGATAAAGTGGGCCGAGATGCTGGGTATACAGCACCTACTACAGTATCTGGCATGTGCTGGGCTAGTACATGACTTCAGAGGAAAGAGGGAACACACATAGCAATTGGGCTCTAAGAAAGATGTTTTAAAAACATTTTTAGGTATAGATGGATCTTTATTTTATTTATTTATATGTGGTGCTAAGAATTTAACCCAGTCCCTCACACATGCTAGGCAAGTGCTCTACCACTGAGCTACAACCCCAGCACTCTAAGGAAGCCCTCTAAGATAACACTTAAAGATCAAATGGGACTGTGAAAGATATAAAGGGAATGGTAGTGTGTTTGAGGTAGAAGAATGGCATTACACGAGTTTCAGAGATGAAGAATATGGGGTACTTGATAGTGTAGTAGCAGTAGAGTTTAGAGAAGGTAGGTTTGAGAAGGGAAATTAGAGAGAGGCACAGCTTCAAAGGTTGGCTATATTCATGTGTGAAGGGCACTGAATCAAGTTTGAAGACAAGGAGGAGGTTAAAGACAGAGGAGGTTATGAGGAGGGGGAATCAATCATAATTGTGGCCATTAATAGCACAAGGGTATATTAGAAGAAAATGATGATTTTGAAGAAGAGATTGCAAATTTGTTCTTTAAAGTGTTAAGTAAAAGAGGTCAGAAGGACATGAAGGTAGGTTTGAAGCTCAAGAGAGATCAGTGGAGACAGATATAAAGTTTTGGGAATCAGTGGCCCAAAAGAAACCAAGGAATTTTGCCCTAGAAGAAAGGCCAGAAACCCAGAGAAATAGTGAAAATGGGAGGTGAGAAACAGAAAAACTGGAGGGAAAATATAAAACCTAAATGGAGCTGTCAGCATACCATTAGGATACCAAGGA